GTCGTGCAGCCATCGCTGAAGTGCAAAGAGGCTGCAGGAGATCAACAGCACTAGGATGTAAAACAAGATTTAAAAAGGTTCAAATCTTTTTTGGCGCTCAAAATAAAAAAAACTGCATTGCCAAATCACCCGAATCCCGGCACATGTATGATGTTAGAAGAACAAAGTACTGAGGGGTTGCAGTGCGTAATGTCTAAACAATTCCTTTATAACAGTGTTTGAAAATGTGCAACCCTCTCTATTAAATATAGAGCAAAATGAACATCTTTATAAGATACATAACAGGTCTATGCATGCAGACAGATGGCACACCTGGGAGCCCCGTGCTGTCATAGAAGCTCCTTCGTCAAGAAAGCTGCCAGTGTCACCGCAACACGCTGCTATCTGAGGTCATTCCTTCTCCCCGCTTGTCTGACACATGAACGCAATTAAACAGCTACACTGTCAGCTTCGTGAATTCAGCAAGAAAAATCATGAATACGGCTTGAATGCAATGACGCCTCAAAGGTCTCTGTTACTAAATCTTACCGGACCAATAAACAAAAGGAAGAAACCAGAAGAAATGCGATGATGTCGGCTGATATTTGACATGTTATCTGATCTTTACAGACAGAGCCAGATAGCAGTCTATACATTGTAATGACATCTTTAATATTTCATGAATATACTGTATATCCCTGGCTGTGTGACTACTCCTTGTCCAATACTGTATTCTGGCAACCCTAGAGCTAATACATGGAATGATTGGGTTCAATAGATTCATTTATTTATTTTTTCTATTTTCCATGCATTTACCTGCAGGCCAAGCTGGCCACAAGTACCAGTGAGTGATTGGGGATCCTATAATAGTGCCAGAAGTATAGGGACATACAGTGGTACCTCGGTTCACGAACTTAATTGGTTCCACGATTCTGGTCGCGAACCGAATTGGTTGTGAACCAAATCACATTTTCCCATAGGGATCAATGTAAAGCAGGTTAATCCGCTCTGAACCATAAAAAATAAATACAATGTAACCAAGTTTCTTTTTACCACCATTCTTGCTCTGCACATTCTTGTCACCTTCATTAATGCTCTGCACATTCTTGTCACCTTCATTAACGCTCTGCACATTCTTGTCACCTTCATTAACGCTCTGCACATTCTTGTCACCTCTCTGCGCTTTCTTTTTCCCACCATGCTTGCTCTGCACATTCTTGGAAGCCATGCTGGATTGAATACAGTAATACTGTACTGTACTGTGCTACAAAGCACACAAAAAAGTTCACAGTAAGTACCCACAGCCCTCTCTGCGACCGCAATCTCGAGTACAGGAAGCCATGACCATGTGTCAGAGCGGGGAAGATGGTCACGGTCGTGTTCGTCACCCGAGGCAGAGTTCGCGAACGGAGGCAACATTTTTATGAACTTCATGGTCGCGAACTGAATTGTTCGTGAACAGAGGCGTTCGTCAACCGAGGTACCACTGTACAAGGGTATATAAAGAATGGACTTCTCTTTTTTGCTCCCTTTAAGGCTAGGTTCACACCTAGGCGATTCACATGCTGAGCTGTTTTTGCGCGGTTGTCACGCGTTATCGATTACGCGACTGTTCATTGAGACCGTGCGATTGTCAATGCGTAGAGATGTCTATGGGACCCAAACCGCGCGACAAACGCCCGAATATAGCCATTGCCTAGACTGCTGAACTCTGTATGCTCATACCCTTAGGATTTATGGGGGGGAGGGGGGAGACTCATTATTTCATCATGGCACACTCACAAACCAGCATGTAAAACAACTTGTCTCACCACTAAGGACAATGACAGAGGTTTGGATACACGTCTTCTGCAAAGGATGTGTAAGCCGCACTGCCGCGCCAAGGCACCTCTTATAGTGCGGTCCTTACTCTAAACTATGAGAGTCTCCATCTTGGAGCACATGGGGGCAGAAGATATCAAATTGGGTGCAGGCCTGTCAGGAGGACGCCCCACCTCCTTAAAGGTACAGAAACACACAAGGGATCCCGCACATCCCATTGGCAGCTGAGAAACCCCATGCGTCGCTGCACCAAATCGGTAAAGCAAAACAAACGACAAACGCACTCAACAATTTGTTACCAGTTATACAGTAAGGTGCACACGAAATGGGCTTTGAACAGTAGAACAGTAGAAATTCATCATGGCACACTCACAAACCAGCATGTAAAACAACTTGTCTCACCACTAAGGACAATGACAGAGGTTTGGATACACGTCTTCTGCAAAGGATGTGTAAGCCGCACTGCCGCGCCAAGGCACCTCTTATAGTGCGGTCCTTACTCTAAACTATGAGAGTCTCCATCTTGGAGCACATGGGGGCAGAAGATATCAAATTGGGTGCAGGCAATTTGATATCTTCTGCCCCCATGTGCTCCAAGACGGAGACTCTCATAGTTTAGAGTTAGGACCGCACTATAAGAGGTGCCTTGGCGCGGCAGTGCGGCTTACACATCCTTTGCAGAAGACGTGTATCCAAACCTCTGTCATTGTCCTTAGTGGTGAGACAAGTTGTTTTACATGCTGGTTTGTGAGTGTGCCATGATGCCTTTCTACTGTACCACTGTTCAAAGCCCATTTCGTGTGCACCTTACTGTACAACTGGTAACAAATTGTTGAGTGCGTTTGTCGTTTGTTTTGCTAGACTCATTATTTCATCCCGTTCAATAAGCACATTCCTGCTGGTACCATGTACATAAAAGCAACACTAATAATAATAACAACAAAGTGCAGCTCACAGTGCAGCTCACAGTGCAGCTCACAGTGCAGCTTATAGTGCAGCTCATAGTGCAGCTCACAGTGCAGCTCATAGTGCAGCTCACAGTGCAGCTCATAGTGCAGCTCACAGTGCAGCTCA